TTTCCTTTCCTTTCCTTTCCTTTCCTTTCCTTTCCTTTCCTTTCCTTTCCTTTCCTTTCCTTTCCTTTCCTTTCCTTTCCTTTCCTTTCCTTTCCTTTCCTTTCCTTTCCTTTCCTTTCCTTTCCTTTCCTTTCCTTTCCTTTCCTTTCCTTTCCTTTCCTTTCCTTTCCTTTCCTTTCCTTTCCTTTCCTTTCCTTTCCTTTCCTTTCCTTTCCTTTCCTTTCCTTTCCTTTCCTTTCCTTTCCTTTCCTTTCCTTTCCTTTCCTTTCCTTTCCTTTCCTTTCCTTTCCTTTCCTTTCCTTTCCTTTCCTTTCCTTTCCTTTCCTTTCCTTTCCTTTCCTTTCCTTTCCTTTCCTTTCCTTTCCTTTCCTTTCCTTTCCTTTCCTTTCCTTTCCTTTCCTTTCCTTTCCTTTCCTTTCCTTTCCTTTCCTTTCCTTTCCTTTCCTTTCCTTTCCTTTCCTTTCCTTTCCTTTCCTTTCCTTTCCTTTCCTTTCCTTTCCTTTCCTTTCCTTTCCTTTCCTTTCCTTTCCTTTCCTTTCCTTTCCTTTCCTTTCCTTTCCTTTCCTTTCCTTTCCTTTCCTTTCCTTTCCTTTCCTTTCCTTTCCTTTCCTTTCCTTTCCTTTCCTTTCCTTTCCTTTCCTTTCCTTTCCTTTCCTTTCCTTTCCTTTCCTTTCCTTTCCTTTCCTTTCCTTTCCTTTCCTTTCCTTTCCTTTCCTTTCCTTTCCTTTCCTTTCCTTTCCTTTCCTTTCCTTTCCTTTCCTTTCCTTTCCTTTCCTTTCCTTTCCTTTCCTTTCCTTTCCTTTCCTTTCCTTTCCTTTCCTTTCCTTTCCTTTCCTTTCCTTTCCTTTCCTTTCCTTTCCTTTCCTTTCCTTTCCTTTCCTTTCCTTTCCTTTCCTTTCCTTTCCTTTCCTTTCCTTTCCTTTCCTTCCCTCCTTCCTTTCTTCCTTTCTTCTTTACTTCCTTTCTTCCTTTCTTCCTTTCTTTCTTCTTTTCTGGAGGCAGCGCCAGCATCATCTTTCATTATCAGCTGGGGTTTTTTTGGTTTTTGGTTTTGTTGTTTTTTTTTTTTATTATTTTTTCTTTCCTCATACATTCTTTCTGGCGCTGACAGTGTCCTTTGTCTTCGGCCAGGGTTTTTTTGGGTTTTTTTAAATACTTTCTTTCTTTTTTTTTGCTTATACATTCTTTCTGGTAGCGGCAGCATTGTCTTTCATCTTCAGCCATTTTTTTTTGGTGGGTTTTTTCTGTGTTTTTTTTTTCTTTTTGCTTCGCTTATACATTCTTTCCGGTGGCAGCAGTGTCTTCCTTCGCCATCGGCTGGGTTTGGGGTTTTTTTTGGTTTTATTCTTTCTTTTTTCTTCACTTACACATTCTTTCTGGTGCCAGCAGCATCTTCCTTTGTCTTCAGCTGGGTTTGGGTTTTTTTTATTGTTCTTTCTTTATTTTTTCTTCACTTCTACATTCTTTCCACCAGAGGCAGCATCTTCCTTTGTCTTCGTCCAGGTTTTGAGGGGTTTTTTGAGTCTCTTTTCTCTTGCTTATACATTCTTATAGGTGGCGGCAGTGTCTTCCTTTGTCTTCGGCCAGGTTTTTTGGGGGTTTTTTTTATTCTTTCTTTCTTTTTCCTTCGCTTATACATTCTTTCTGGTGGCGGCACCACTGTCTTCCTTCGTCTTCGGCCGGGTTTTGCTTTTTTTTGTATTCTTTCTTTTTCTGTCTTTCTTTCTTTCTTTCTCTTTCTGTCTTTCTTTCTTTTTGTCTTTCTTTATGTCTTTCTTTTTCTCTTTTTCTCTTTCTGTCTTTCTGTCTTTCTGTCTTTCTTTCCTTCTGTCCTTCTTTCTTGCTGTCTTTTATTTTTTCTTTCTTTCTTTCTTTCTTTCT